AACGTACCCAAAAACGGGTTTGCGGAAAAAACAGATCAAGCTTGGTCTCTCGACCACGAGATACAGATAATCCCGACTGGTGCTGGTATCATAACCAGTATGGTAAGTCTTCCAGAAATTGCAGGAAGCCCTGCAATTATCCGAACTCCAAATCCACTGACAGGAAAAAGTACTCGAGAAACTTCCAAGCCGGCACGCGTTAACGCAACCGTAGCCGGTGAACATAGCCGCCTCTTATGTGTCACGGATGTGACCACGAAAGTTCGCTACCTCGTCGACACTGGCGCAGAAGTTGGCTTTCTTCCCGCGAACTCTAGTGACAGACTCCACGAGTCTGTTTTAAGTTTACAGGCGGCAAACGGAAAGCAGATTGCTGCTTACGGTAAAAGGTACGTTTACCTTAACGTGGGTTTACGCAAACCCATTCACTGGATTTTCGTTGTTGCAGGTGTCTCTCTGCCAATCATTGGTATAGACCTGTTACAATACCACAATCTACTAATCGACACACGCTCACGAAAGTTAATGGACGGAAACACTAAGTTATCTGTTTGCGTAACTCCTTTTTCTGGTTGCAGATTATCCGCAGCCACAATTAAGCACGCCATAGACCCCCTATATCAATTATTATTCGATGAATACTCCGGGATATATCAACTGCAACAGAAATCGCTCTGTGTAAACAGCAATGTTACACATCACATCTCGACTAGAGGACCACCTGTATTCTCAAAAGCACGCCAATTCGCTCCCAAAAAGCTTAGGTTGGCTAAAAACGAATTCGACTACATGATAGACTTAAGGATAATTCGACCGTCAAATAGACCTTGGTCATCTCCCTTGCACATGGTCCCTAAAAAGGACAGCAATGGTTGGCGTCCAACTGGTGATTATTGGCGTTTGAATGCTAATAGCATTCGCGATCGTTACCCGTTGCCTCAAATTCACGATTTGACAGCTACCTTGAAAGGTGCAACTGTCTTTTCGAAAATCGACTTAGTTAAGGCTTACAACCAAATACCTATGGCTAATGACGACATTCCAAAAACCGCCATCATAACATCTTTGGGCCTCTACGAATTTCTAAGAATGCCTTTCGGCCTAAGAAATGCGGCTAAAACCTTTCAAAGGTTTGTGGACGACGTCTTCTGAGGTCTCAACTTCGTATATGCGTATGTTGATGACCGTCTCATAGCAAATCCGGACAGAGAATCACATCTCCAGCATCTGGACATTGTTTTCGAACGACTCCAAAGGCATGGCATTACTGTCAACATTCAGAAATGCCAAATCGGAACCAACTCCTTAGACATCCTAGGACACACTATTGATGCCCAAGCCATCAGACCCCTTAGAAGTAAAGTGGCGGCCATTCTGGATTACCCAGAACCGACCACGATCGAGCAGTTGTGAACTTTCAACGGCCTTGTAAGTTTCTGCAGACGGTTCATACCTAAATGCGCATCTCTTATGAAACCGTTAACCGACCAACTTCGTGGAAATGCTAAAGCAATTAGTTTAGACGACACGGCCGAAAAGCATTCTCCATAGTTAAGGAACACATCGCTAAAGAAACCTTGCTTGCTCATCAGGACACTCAAGCGCCCATTAGTATCGCCGTAGACGCATCCGACTCAGCAATCGGAGGAGTCCTACAACAATGGGTTAACAACTCTTGGCAACCTTTAGGATTTTTCTCGTGATGGTTGCTAGAGGCGGAATCTAGGTACAGCATTTTCGGTAGGGAACTCCTAGCTATGTATCGTGCTGTACGACATTTCCAACATTCCATCGAAGGAAGAGAATTCACGCTTTTTACCGACCACAAACTTCTTACCTTCTCTTTAAGTTCATCTTCAGACATGTACTCACCGCGAGAGTCTCGACAACTCGACTACATCTCGCGGTTTACTTCAAATATACAACACATTTCTGGAGCAAACAATGTAGTCACAGACGCTTTGTCTCAAATAAGTTCCTTGATATGTCTTGTAAGTTGAACGCTATATTCAGATCCTAAGCTATTCTGATAACCACAGGATAGAACTATTCAGAGACTTGAACACCAGAGAGAAGATACGAGTATGAGAGAAACACTTTACTGCAAGGTTCAATCTTGTTACAGAAAATCATTAATATTTGTAGATGTTAGCCAATCCATTAGCGACATATTATGATACTGACCAATAATATCACGCCACGTTGGAACTCTAGAATGTTCCATCGCATTCTGATTGGCTGGGGCTCTTTATGAGCCTCTGGAGGCTCTGTTAGCGTTCTCCGGAAGCCTTGAAGAACAGTTTCCTTGAACAGTTTCCATGGAATCGACCTTCTTAAACTCGTTCAACTTCAAAAAGAAGACATTGATTTTCAGCACGAGTTATCCTCGACAACTCTTAAACTACGTATTAAGCAGATGGGAACAGGTAAGGAAACCTTAATTTGCGACACATCTATAGGTACGGATCGTCCATTAGTACCAAAACATTATCGACGCAACGTCTTCAATACGTTGCACAATCTTTGTCATCCAGGTGTTCGTGCAACAATCAAGCTTATAGCCGAACGGTTTTGCTGGCCTGGCATGAATAAAGACGCGAGGGAGTGGGCACGCTCCTATGTAAGCTGCCAGAAATCTTAGGTAATCAGACCCAACAAATGTCCCTTAGGCTTTTTCAAGACCCTTGACGCTCGTTTCGACCACGTTCATCTAGATTTTGTAGGACCATTACCCGATTCAAACGGATACTCATATCTCTTAACATGCGTAGACCGTTTCACTCGATGGCCAGAAGTAGTACCTGTTAAGGACATTACTGCTGAAACAGTGGCCCGCGCTTTCGTCGAACGATGGGTAGCGAATTTCGGCTGCCCTTCCACGATCACTACAGACGCGGACGCCATTTCGAATCTGGACTTTTCCGTTGCCTGACCTCACTATTAGGAATCACTCTCCTCCGAACGACCGCCTACCACCCACAAGCAAACGGATTGGTAGAACGTTTTCATCGACAATTTAAAGATTCACCATCAGCTACACACGTTTCACAATGGACAGATGCTCTTCCACTCGTCTTGCTAGGTATCCGCAATGCAGTGAAAGTTGACATTGGGTACACTCCATCTCAACTCGTTTATGGGACGACAATCGGACTTCCAGGAGAATTCGTAGATCCTTCGGCTTCTTCATTGAACATGGATCTAAACTCTTACACGAGTAGGCTTACAAATGCAATGCGTTCAGTCAAACCTGCTCACACTCGACCTCAATCAAATGACGTTTTCGTTCAACCTGACTTACGACATAGTACACAAGTCTTCGCACGCCGAGACTCACATCGACGACCACTCGAATCAGCATACCAAGGACCCTTCAAAGTTCTTCAACATCAACCTAAGTACTATGTAGTAGATAAGAACGGTACGAAAGATAGCATCAGTATTGATCGCCTAAAAGCAGAGTACTTAGAAGGAAACCCTAGCTACGTCGATTTTCCTTCAGTACATTCGAACGACACGGCTACCACACTCGTAGTACCACACACGACAGCCGACATACACGTTGATACTTCCTTAACATCGGAAAATAAACACGTTCTGGAAGAAAAGTAAGATTTCCAGTACACCTAAACGACTATTGCACGTAGGACACAAACGTTATCTCGAATTCCCTTTGCATTATTTATTGTAAAAAAGAATTATTTTAATATGCTTATTTTCATATATTTATTTCAAAAAAACAATTTTTTTACTTATGGGCGTATATATATATTTTTTTCATATAAAAACCCAAAAATAATTTTTTCTAATCGCTTTTACGCTGTCGCAAGTGTATTAGTTTTTTTTCCCGTTCATTTTGTGTCCTTAAGCAAATACGAGTGTATTTTGGACATGCGCTCACACGTCCTATTTTTCTCTTTTCCAGGACTGCTGGAAAAGAATGACGAAGTTTGACAAGGAACTGAAATTTTCATTGTACTTTATTTCTTTATTGCTATGTTGTACCTCATGGTCCCTTAGTGTAAGGAAAGACGACCAGACGCTGCTAGACATAGCAAGCTATCAGAAGAGTGTTCACCAACGACAAACTCGTTGGGTTTAAACTTCTGGCTGGTCACGTCTTGGGGTCATCACTACCTCACTAGGGGGGGGGGGAATGATCTGTAGCTGTAAATAAATCCCCAAAATCAATAGCTCATTAAGTGTTCGACATTGGATGCTGGCCACGTTGTTTAAGTGTACTTGTTTAACTGAAGGCTTTCGGTCATGCATCCGTACCAGATCACGTTCACACTCAGCGTGGGACACTACTCCTACGTTCACTAGCCAGGTTAGAGCAAACACCGCGATATATTGATAACGTATCAAATATATCTTTCCTACCTCTTCGCATCTGACTTCTGATTTCGATTAGTTGGGGAAAGCTTCGTATATAGAAGGTGCTACTGGTGGCAGGTTGTAAAATCAGAATACTAGTCGTATCTTCAATAGACTGAAGTTTCTCACAGAGGTTTGTAGGTAGCTTTCTTGTTTGTATGATTATTTAAACAACTGGAAGTTATAAATCGTTTAGTTACTCCTTTGGTACGTACCTATCAAACTAATCATCTCTTAATGTAGGCAATCTTCAGTCAAATATATTTAGTTTAGCCATAGCCTAGATTAATGAATAAATGTCAGAAAGTTAGGAAGTAAAAACGGTCATTTTTACATTCTGTATGAAGTTCATACTAACATTCAATCTAAACTATAGCTCGCTCAGCTTCCCAACTATACAATCGTTCACCTGAAAAACGATAATTACCATGTAATTAATGTGGAAAGTTTGGAGGTAGTAACGAAGATGCTTGTAACAGGTTGTAGATTTATCACCTTGCACTCCTTTACAGGTTTTTGTCTTCTTTCAGATTTTTCAATATGTCATACTTAGAAGCACTATTGCAGTATATATGAATTCATGCATACAAACTGTAAAGTATTAAAAGCTCTCAGTTTTGAAGATGCGGGCATTTCAACAACAGGGTCAATCACATCCAGTAAGTTTGCATAGAATTAGCGGCAGGAAATTCCGCTAATGGCTCGAAATCGCGCCAAAAGTATGTGATAAGATAGTAATGTATATACTAGTTAATACGTGTTGTATTCTTATTTTAGCCCTTTTATGGTAAATGAACAAATAGAATGGACTGTTGTCAAAGTTCGAAAGCATTGTTAAACACAGCAAATTTCTTGTAAAAATGTATGTCGCTCAAACTCCAGTCTGTTTTTAGGCACCTTTAGTAATTGTAGAACATGATAGATAAACTATGGCCTCAATGTGTTATTCGCTAAATTTAGTTTTCTAGCTTTTTAAATCGCATTTTTTTAGCTTGTGTATTTTTCCACTTACATCTATTTCACTTTTGCGCTACTAATGCTATCGGTTTTATCTATATTTTAGCTTATGTATCAAAGACATCAACCTCATTTAACTTTAGCAAGTGTCAGACTCAGTAATATGAAGGGAGCTTGTTTAGGCTTCAAAACACTCGATTTCTAACACCGAATTATGGATCTGACCATCATTCTATCACTGTACTAGTAATTGTGCTGTAAATTTTGCCGTCACACGAAAGGTACGGCTGGAAACCGAATACTAGTCTGTAAGTATCACTAGTCCAATTAAGGGAATGAAATTATAACAACCTACTGTAAAACGAATGAACTACACTTTAAATAATCCTTAAATTATTTTCTTTTACTTTTGGTAATGTCTCATCCTTATCAAACCTCAGGTTGATTGCAATTTATTTTTTCACTTAATCAGGGGAAACAGATCTGTCCTTTTTACCTAAGGAATCGATGCGTATATGGCGATCGATGCATTAATTCTCATTGTTTACCAGAAAACAAATTGTCCCAGACTTCAAAGTGAGTACTTTCATGTCTTACAGTATTTGTTTTTTCACGACTCCTATTCAAGATCTGAGTGTCACTTTAAGTCTGAAGAGGAAAATCGTGTTAACTTGTATAAACTAAGATCCCTTTCTACATCCCTGCGTGTTGTATTTGTCTCTATGCAATCAGATTTCTGTTCACTGACTTACTTGTGGGCTAACTATAGCCTACCAGGTCACTGAAGTCACTGCAATTGTGGATAATATTAATATAGGTACTGTTGGTTTGCATGCACTTATTCAGCCAACTCACTCAAATATAAGTTTACATATGTATTATTGTACCCTTGCTTTCACTATTATGTGGCTCTTCACAAAGGTTGTTATGTAGTTTGTTTAGCTTTTTGTTCAAGTAGATTATATCTTAACAGGATTAGGTGTTTTGTCTGTGAAGAAATCTTCGCCTATCAAAGATAATCAAGGATATATCGACAACATAGTACCCAAAACAAATGTGGTGCGATTATAATTTACGGAGGTCTTTCGGGCTACCCCTACGTGATCTTGAGACCACCTACTTGATAGGACTAAGTGAGAGTTAGAAATTAGTGTGAGGGATTGAGACTAAGGTTTACATTTGGACGTCGAAGTTGGGTATTACAGTTGTGGCTTTCACAACGAACTGATATCAGCTATAATCCTGAAGCGTTATTTAGGGTTGGGGATAGACTCCACATTGTCAAGTCATCTCAGTGTATCGTAGTCAATTGTATATATTTTGTAAAAGTCTCTATCATAGAATTAATCAGAGGCATATCGTTTGCGGTGTTGTAATTTTCCTTTCATCATGACTGACTGCCCTAGACTCAGCACGTCCGTGGTATTTTCGTCGTAGGGAACTTTACATTTTTCATGTAAACCAGGGAAAGAGACAGATAATGAAGCACGCGCTCCATCATGGATTACGATAATGTATATAATAATTCTCACTTCATTTCTGCTAGTCGCCCGGTACATGGGCGAAATTGCAAACGAGAGTAGAGTTTATCCTCATCCCTATTTAGCCGTATGGATGAATAAATTTCGCGCCCAAATCCAAGACCTGCTGCCCTAAATCTGAAGAAATGTAGCGCAAAACTAAGGAATACGAAGAACCAACACTGATAGATTTTGAGCCATATCACTCTATATCAGTCACTAAATATTTTAGTCATGTTGCGTATTTCAGTGAGGCAATTTATGATTTCTACATAGTCAAAGTTGAATCATTAGTTTTATAAACGTATTTAGCATTGTGGTCTGATTGCTCAGTTAAATATTGGGAATAAGATTCTTTGCAAGGACTTTATCATTAGGTTACACTATCATAATAAAACCAGCAGATTTACCTAGAGTCTCAGTCTGTAACATGCCACCATATTTCAGCTCAGTAGACCTAAAGCATGTTTGCCAGGCCTATAAAGCTCAAATCACTTGAAATTTTTGCGCACTCTGTATACTGTTTCTCACTCTTACAAGTTGTAATCGAACTAATATATATTACAACTGAAAATGTAAGTCCTCTGATTCGTAAATCTCTACTGTTGCACGTGGTGTTTTGTTGTTTAATGTCTGTTCATGAATTTTGGCTCATTTAGTGAAAGATGTTTAATGCAGATGAATTCTATTAAGCGACATTTTGCATGGTTTATCTATAATCCATGATATAATATAAAATGTGCTGGGCAGATAATATAAATTTCATTACTTTAAACATTTAGGTTCTTGTTCTAGAGTCTTAATTCAACATAAAATCCCCTTTTTAACTTCAGATCTATTCCTTGTAAGTTCTATCTACAAGGCTATTGTCACAATGGGATCAAATGTACATTTTCACACAATATAAATGGTAATTGTGGTATTACATAAATTTGGTTTATATTTAATTTTTATGATATATTTAATTCTAGTCAGCTATTAAAGTAATTCATACCTAGTCAAACCATGTATTTCTTTTCGCTGGTGGTTAATCATTGAATAGTATGAAAGCAAATAATAAAACTGAATATCGTCAGTTGGAATACTGAGATATAAAGACAACTCTTTTCAGTATGGGGTTGTGAAAATTGTTGCATTTTATTGACATCACGATTTTATCTGAATGAAGTTAGATTTCTACACGAGTAGATCCTGGTTCAGTGGTCTAGAGAAGCTAATTGTTCGCTTAAAACTAATAGTCCTGGGTCCGGTTCCCGCTGGCAAGGTCGTAGATGCCTGCTACATAGGAGTCTCATACTAGGACGAAACGGTCATCCAGTGCATTCAGTTTTTCTGATGGTTGTCTAACTTAGATCAGTTCGTAAGTTCTCATCATTGAATCTCGTTCGGGTTAAACCCATAACGTTCCGTCCATCTTTTGGTTTAGATTTTGTTAGCTAGTGTTTCCTAAAACTAAGGGGGTTCGTAATATAGTGCGATCACGTAGTCTGTAAGGTTTAATGTTTCGTTAGCATTTCTCCGCTCTCAAATGCTGTATAAGGAACGTCACGTGACATAGTGTGGATAAGATGTTAGTCGTCATCAAAGTATGGCTTAATGCTGAGCTGTCGGCTTTCCATTCCATTATGGTCGCAAAATAATAGCTCCACAGTGGATGTCAGTGAAGTGGCCTTAATATATGACTACATACCTATTGATCGAGACAGAGATATGTCCACCTTTAAATCTTCAGTTTAGTATTATTACTTGTTTTAGCGTTTAAACAAGCATCAGTAAGATGTAGACAAAATTAATTTAGTTTCCTCGTAATTGTTGTTTCATTGATTGGTAATTGATGATACCTTTGAAACTTTGCTTATTTTTTAAGTGATTTTAATTGAAATGACGTAGAACTTTTCATTTATTCAGCCAATTCATCTCATAACTACCGCAGAAATTTGAAGGAAGCCATTGACTCAAAATATCCAAACAGTCAGCCAAACAATCTCACCAAATTCTTAACTAACACTGGTACTAATATGGCCAGTAAAACTATTAATAAGCCAATATCACCTGGTTTAACAGGTTTTTCATTCCGTCAGACTGAAAAAGTAATCAAAATGCAATTATTTCGATATCGTGAATGGGGATATGAAGCTTCAGAAATTTATAGCTCCTACGATCAACTGAATGAAAAAGAGCTATCTATATATCGTTCATCTGGAAATTTTGTTCCTGGTACGATTCCTTTATCTTCACCGTCAGAAAATTTATGTACATTTTCTTAAAAATGAACTGTATTATTCTTGTATAATGTCTCTAAAATAACTCTATATCAATTCATTTACTTTTTGATCACAAACTATAGCCCAATATTTTCGTGTCCCAGGGTTTCCGCATAATCTGCGCATCCATAATGTATTTTCGAAGTCCTATTTGAATAAGGATAAGCTATAATTCTATAACAAATGATCAAATATGGCCTACTCAAACAAGTGTAGACTACCTGAGCGGAGTCCACGTGATTGTTGTAACCAGTGGTTAATCGTTTGGAATGGCACAGGTGCATCCATTTTTTGTTTTCCTCTATGTTCTGAGCTTCTGAATTCCTCATAACTTTTTCGTGTTTTTATCTCACTAATATACATTTTCTTGAATCATATCATTGATGCCTAATCTTTTTTATTATTACTAAGACTGCAGCTATCTCTATTGTTCTGGGGCTTGTCCTGACAATTTTATTTCTCTGTGCTAATGGATTGTGGTAGCTTAAACCGATGTGCATGCATACAAGGCTCTACTTTGAGACTGACTGACTGACTAATTCAGACAGATCAAAATAAACACAAAATTTAGCATAAATTCGTGCTGATCAGTATTGCTGACCGTATGCAAGTTTTTATATTAAAGCCTGTGCCGATAGTGTTAGGAAAAATACTTTCTAGCGTCCTTTCACATGGTCCATAATTACTTACGCATGTTACCCTTTGTGGAGGAGCATAAGGCCGCCCACCAGCGGTAAGACTAAAAGCAGCAAACCCAAGGTCCGAAGGCGAAGTCGCACTGCTGACTGTACAGAGGTGTGACAGCAGTAAGATGTCTCCTTCAGACAACCAGCATAACAGCGATGCTGCCTTTCCACAAGGAGGGGTAGGGTTAGAAAAGGTCGACTCTAAAAATGCACACCTCGCCTTATCCCACGGATTTCCGTCTCCGGCTGTAAGGTCCTTTAAAGAACGGAGCTAACACAAAAACTACCCACAAAAAAGTCGTGTGTGACCGACCTCAAGCAGTTGTCCCTTGGGCACTGCGGTCACGCTCTCAGGTCATTAAGACCACTTCTAACGTAATTCCCTTTTCAGGTACCTCTAGAAGAACCCTTCCACGGTGTGGGCAACCGGGAAGTGATAACTGCCCTCATACCTCTAACAGCACTCAAGAACACAGAGCACTCTCCATGCCGCCCTGTCCTCGGAAATCCTTTCCAGTTGCTATTCATCCTTTTGATGTCTGCTTCCAATTCCTGACGTAGTGTGTTCTTTGGCCTTCCGCTTTTCCGTTTCCTTTCAGGATTCCGAGTTAGGGCTTGCCTCGCGATGCGGTTTGGTGATTTCCTTAATGCATGTCCTATCCACTTCCAACGTCTTTTCCTAATTTTCTCTTCAGCTGGAAGCTGGTTTGTCCTCTCCCACAGTAGGATGTTGCTGATAGTATCCGGCCAGTAAATGTTGAGTATTTTGTGTAGACAACTGTTTTTAAATACTTGTACGTTTTTGATGATGGTTGCAGCAGTTCTCCGCTTGTAACTTTCCTAGAGTTACTGCCGGTTTCAAGCCCGAGTAAAGGAGGAGGGATAGGTGTGGGGTCGGCAACCCCATCCCGTAGAATAAAACCTTGCTGAAATACTCCAACCATTTAAACTCTGCCCTGGGAGTTGAAGGAATAATTATGACGCCTCACGATGAACGCTGAGATCCTTCAGAAGTCATGAGGCCGATTCCCCTTCTAACACCCAGAACAACAATTTTTGTAGGTTCATGGTTCATAATCGGTACAGTCTATTTTGATGTTGGTTTGTTCTCTGAGCTGGATGGTTTGGTCGTGAGATCAAACCACCATCAAAATCACCCACCTGAGCTACAAATCTTCTCCACCATCTCAGTACAGTCTATTTGTAGTATTACCTCACAGCATAGAAAATCTGTGACAACAACAGTAAAAGTCTTACAGCAGGTTTGAATGACTAATAGACAAACAAGTACATCACTCTAAAGCCCCACAAGAATTAGCATTGGTCCAAGTTGCTATATCTCGGAATTACACAACAAAAGGAAAGACATATGATGAGATCGTAGCAAAATAACCTTAAAAAGATATCAGTAAATAATCTTCCATTTGAGCGGAATATAGGATTTCACTTCGTATTATGCGAAAAATTCAATAAGCATTTTGAAACATTTCTTTAGTCTTTCGCAATTAACCAAATCCAATATAAGCTGGTTTGTAAGGCAATAGTTCTGAACCAATTTGATATTCTGTATCTGACCTTCAAACCAGTATTATTTACATATGAAATAACATTTTACCTGATCGATTTTATGCCGTATAAGTGACTTATTCATGAAGTAGTGAAAAATAATACGGTATTCATTCATCGTAATTTTGCAGTCACTTCATGTTTCTACGGTTGATTGATGAGTATGTATTATAATTCATTCATTTCCACATACTTTACGCTATTTCCATAAAATCAAATTTGATAATAATGTTCTGTATTTTACTAAATTTCTGCTAGTTTGTGCTTAAAGTATGCATTAACAATCAAACCTAAATAAACGTAAAGGAATGTGAATTGTCCAAATTAAGCAGATATGAAAACAGTTAATTTTAAGATACAAAACATTATTTATTATCTTCAAAAGATGTTGTGAAACTTCATATTCAATTCTCAAAGATATAGCGTATGTCTCTTCACTTAAAGACATCATTTTTGTCCTTCAATACCAATATAGGTTTTGATGTGATTGGTAGACGACTTATTAACGGTTTTATTGAAGTGGATTGTAGATTCGGCTTCACAAGAATTCTCAATAGTTTTATTCGTTGTGGTATGTTGTTTTACTGCATAAATTGTACTCCGAACTGGGTAATTTTGATGAATAGTGTTTGTGATCAAACTGAATTGATGGTATAGTATTGTTTAGAATGTCTTAAAGCGTCAGATATAACACAGATATACTTTTAATGATTTTGATATATGTACCTATATTTAAAAGTCCTTGTGCTTTTTCCTAAAGCTCCTTAGTCAACGTCAATATTACGAATTTTTTTAGACTCTTATCTACAATATATTACTTGGGCTATGGGACAAGCGGGATACATAATACTGTTAATTAAAAATTCATTGACCTATGATCTATCAACAGTACAAATTTGCGTATAAATGCAGATCATTATTTCTGCATAGAAATCAACATATGTCTACTTCATCGTAGGTTGTAATTCACTCAAACATAAAATTCTTAATCTTTATTTATTGGTATACTTTTCAATAGAGTTTATCGGAATAAATTTTATATAAAAAGAATAATCATCATGACTATCATGTACGTATATGAAGATTATATTTGTTTGGTAATATACGAATTTTTTTAAATAAAATTATTCAAATAAATAGAAATAGACTATTATTACCTATTTGACATCACCTAATAGAGCAACTCCTCTTAAAATCCAATGGTCTGCATCTACTGCACTACGAAGCATTAAAGGAAATATGTAATTCAAGTCAGTACGTTTAGGCTTTTTGTAAACTGGACATGAATAAAATATTCCAGGTTTACTTTTCTCACCGATTGACTGAGAAAATGCAGATACATGTACTACTGGGAGTGGAGTGTACAATAGTTTTGGTAGCGGCTCCATTAGTCTAGCCTGTTTACGATCCCAACCAGCTCCATCTAAACTAAGACCATGAATGTAAACACCTTCAGTTGGTCCTTTAGTTAATTCTTCACGCATTAATTTCGTCACATCGTTTGTTAAAGCTACATCATCTAGGGCATATTTATTTGCTCTGGCCACTTCTTGTCTCATAGCAGTGAGGAAACCCTAAAATAAGAAAGTTAATAGTTATAACAATTCGTAATCGTTAAAACGGTTGAAAAAAATACTGCATTACTTTATCCATAATGAAGTGATTGAAAGTTTTAAAATTAGCTTTTTTTATGTACAAAGTTGATTATTTAAACAAGCACAAAAATTGAATGAGCCATTACAGTCATATGAACGCTAAAAATACAGCCACTCTGCATAAATTAATGATATTGAAAATGAATATGCTTACAGAAGTATCTTGACATGTTGAAGTAGAGACTAAACTAAAAGCGGTCTCAGTAGGAATTTGTCTCCTAGAAGGTTTTTTGGTCAAAGATATCATTTGAACCTGTTCTACTGGATTTTACAGTTTAAAATAATTTTATCTAAAGGTAAACAGTAAAATAAATTCAGAGAAATCACCACTTATTTATAGTAAGGGGTTGGATAAACTACTATTCTGTAATCGTTGAAATCCATTTAAATATGTTTAGTTAGGATCGTAAACGTAGTGGTAGATGGCTAGAGATAGCCTCCAAAACCTTCTGTAGGCTTAAAGTATAAAATTTGTTTCTGCAACTTTGGTTTTCCAGGCGACTGCACAATTAGTCGTTTAACTTTTTTAGCAGAAGTATTTCTGACGAGTCAAATACTTCGAAATGTACACTTACAGTTATTTAGATGGCATCATTTACTTGTTAATGTTTCTCAGAGTTACCGATTGTGACTTAAAAACTGAATAGACCAACCGCAAAGGCCTACTCCATTTGATGTTCGACAATGTGCTATTAGTTCACATCTAGAAATTATCTCCAAAAATAAATAAACATTCCTACATGAAACTCACTTGAGGATTAAAAAATCCTGTCATCCAATAACAAATTGGACGACCTTCGAAAAGCCAATTACTAAATTGGGCATTCCTGTCAAGTAAATCCGTGAACCAAAATCCAAGAGTAGCTGATTCCCATGACATCTAGAAAAGGGTTTTATGAATAGAAAATGTTGGCAAAAAAGTATTTCTTTTGTGATTTCAAACGTGATAACATGGTTTTTATTAATAAGTCATTAAAAGACAGGGACTGATTTTTTTTTCATGTAAAGGGGCTCGAATAACTTGGCAGTAACATCTCAGAGTGTGAACCGGATGACCCGAGTTTTAATCCCATCGATGTCTCAGTTCCCTCAAGATCATAGTCACCTGCTGCTGAAGAGTGCCAACTAGTACGAAACCAGGGTTGACTGCCTCCGACCACCTAGCATGTCAACATGGTGTACGCAATGATGAGTCACGTTGACTAGTGGGCTTATTGCAACCCGATCGACAGGATTCGTTTGACATCAAAGAATTAGTGATACATAAGGCAAGTCATTATTCAGTGGTCAGTTAATTGTTAGCTTAAATTCTCCTTCAAAATCCTATCGTCTTTCCACCTACTTATGCTCGTGTGTTAGTGTTGATATGCATTGCATTTTGGCATCAATGATCTTATGTGTTTCTCAACCTTTATATCTTCCATGTAGGCGTTTATATACAGTTGGAAATGTAAAACCATCAAGTCAATGACGCACCGGTTTAAAATTTGAATGTTCTCCATGAGAACTGGGTTTCCTGAACTCGATATTGTAAAAGGTCAGTCAGGTTCAATGTTAGGCAACAATCTCAATTTTAATTGAAGTAACTATTATGGATGTGGTTTTTAAATTGGCCTCGATTGTTCAGAACTAAACAAATTTTTCCGTCTTGGAATCAATAGTCAGATTCGTGTTCTTACTTTACATTTTTACATAAATCACAAATAACTTACTTTTCTCCATGTACTTGGGATACGCGCATCAAATATGTTATCTAATGCATCACGTAAACTTTCCGACATTATAATCGTACCATCGATTGCTAATTTTAAATCACTCAATGTTGTACGAACATTGGATATAACACGTTGCATACGATCAACTTCTTGTTTTAAAAATATATGAAGTGGTTTTAAATGATCCATTTTAATTAATCGTTCTTTTACCTGGATTCAGGAATAAATATATGAGTAATTATTTTCATTTAAAATAATGAATTCATTTTTAATAAACACGAATAATATACTGCCTTCAAGTGGATGAGTTTAAAACATGTTTGTTGTCTGCCAAGAACTACTTTATACTTGAGGGACTTGTTTTTATTTGGATTAAAACAAAATGCATCGCTTAAGAAGAAATTCCAAGTTGTGACAAGAAAGGGATGAGATTATTGAGGTGAAACAACTGCGTCAGGGTTAAAATAATAAGATTATTTAGTGGATAAACCATCTGTTATAAATCAGAGGAAATGTATTCAGTTAACTTATTTGTTTTACTTATGTGTTTCAGGAATTAGGATTGTTTTGTGTTCTTGACAATTGTTAGTTTATTCAGATAAGTGTTTCACCATTGTCAAGTGGAAAGGCTAACAATATTTCTCGATTTTTAAGATAACGGTGAACTGATCGTAATATGTATTATTCACTACTAATTCAGTTAGGTTACAATGTGAACAAGACGATGGAACAAGGATTAGCTAAGTACTATTCTTGAGTAACATTTATTTGTATTCAGAAAGGTATATAAATTAACCACGCACCTGAATAGTGTTAAACATCTTCGGTACAAGTATACTATATTGGCGGCCTTGATCAAAGCAATCAGAACTAAGCGTCTCGTATTCTTTGCACAAATTTAAAAGCGCAGTGCTAGATACCTTGTATGTTGTGATGATCTAAGCATATACTGACAACGCTGGGTTCTTAAAATGCTCGAAATCGGTAATAATATCTGTTATGCAACCAAACAGCGAATATACGGTGCTCAAGTTAGATCACAAGAAACATCTGCTTTCAGTACAGATTTTGTTAAAGTTTTCTTATTCTTTGAACGTAACCTCTTTCCTTTTCCATAACGGATAATTTATCATTCAAAGGATTATTTACGGTTGTTTTTAACCAGACAGTGTTTTTTTCATGGCTGGTAAGTTGCTCAAGGTTGCTTTTTCACACATTCCTAATTTAGCATCCAGTTATAACTTTATTCCTACGGTATACGAAACTAGATTGTCTTTCAGAAAAAGGCTAACTCAACAGTTTCAAATGCAGCTAAGCACTGATGAATTTATTAAATACCTGCTTATAGACGGACAAATGCATTCCAACATTATTCACCTCAAACGCTTATCACCTGGTTTTTTGCTAACATATACAGGAATTAATTCACCCCAGTGCACACTCCAGTGATTATCTGATTTCAGTAACTAGACGTATAACGTGATTGCATTTGAAGCGAATCGTACAGGATTCGTGTCCCGGGGTGAAAATCAACTATGGGATTCAGGCACACCCAGTTGACGAGTCTTAAATAAGACGAAGCGTGTGTCTTAAATTCCACTGCTACCACAATCCATCTCTGCTTAATATACAGAACTTACTTCGAATGGATTATAGTCGGGTGGTAACTTTTGTAAAATATCATCAGCCATTTTGTAAACAACAGATTCTCTCGTTTCACCTCCACCTCCTCCGCTATCCTTTGGTTGAATATTAACAATAGTTGATAACATCGAACTGACTGTATTTGTAGAGTAGCTAAAATGAAAAAAAGCAACCAAATAATTGTATCAACATGTGTAATTGTGGATAGAAATATTAATTTTATCAGTATGAGGTTAATGCCGATTATTGAGTGTTATTGAGATCAAATACTGGACTGAGTCCAACAACCATTGAAAACCTGAAAGGATCGAACAGTTGTTTCGTTCTAGTACAGGACTCCTCAGAGGTATGCATCCGCAACTTCACCATTGGAGTTCGAGCCCTAATCCGAGCTGAAACCTAACGGTATACATGTTTAAATCCGATCAATTTGTGATAATGTTCAACGACCTTCGATTGCTGTTGATGGGATCGTGGATGCACACCTCTGATTAGTCCTATTCGGAAAGTATAAATTCATCTTTAATAAGAGATGGGATACCTTGAATAAACATCACACTCAAAGCAATGTTATACTGAATAAAATGTCACACTGAAATATAAATATGCTCCCGTCTTTTTGTCGGATATACGCTATGAATACAATCGAAATAAGACTTTTTTATGGTAGGATAAAATGATGAGTTGAGAGCATAGTTGTTCTTCTTCTAACCGCTTTTAACAGTTTGTCATTCCCCGTTGTTAATGTTCAAAACTGCAATACGTGCACCACAACCGGATTGTCTCAATACTGCCTTTTGTTGACAAGTTTAGTAGATTTGCGTTATTGATAACATTGGAATCCACGACGCGCGTTCCTTCGTATTTAGGACTCGTTAGATGGATTTTCTTGGGTCCCAGAGCTGACGTTTAGCGCTAAGACTCGAAACTAGTACTTATCGCTTCAAGTGCCGACGCATTATGTGCTTATTAACTGATTCCAGTTGGTCACTACATTTTTCACTGAGTATGTGGTTATTTGTAAGAGTTTTAATTTTCGCGTTCTTAATAGTAAGGAATTACTTAATGTCAACTTCAACACTGGGGTCCAAGTACATCCAGCTGACGCGTCATAAATAGAATGAAGTGGATATTCTGTATTCTACTCGAAGCTGACTAATTTAAACTAGTCGTTCTGATCTCTAAACCTTTACTGAACCATATAGTGTTTGATCACAATAAATTATAATCAAACTCTGAAACTTACGTAATATCTGCATTCGAGTGTAATCCAAAGCATTCGGGTGAATCAACCAATGGTAAATTATCAATGTTAGTCTGATATTCATCTAGTGTTCTACATTTGGGTATATTGTAACCTCGATAAAACTCAAAGGTATCAGTGAATATATTTTCTGAAAACCACACCTTGGCATAAGTATTAAGCAAACGCTTATCATAATCATCTGTAACCCGACCACCATATTGCACTTCACCAATCATGTAACGAACAGTAGGCCATGAAATTCCCTGTGAAAGTTTTTAAAACGGTTATATGTAGCAATTATATTCTTATAGAAGATACTCTTTGTTAATATGTCATCTTTAAAAATTGTACAGCCGTATTTATAAAAAGAACATTAATGATGAGTTCACTAGTGTGTATAATTCTGCTCAGAATGAATGAAATTTGTGGAGTGCAGTTAATACTTGAATAAATTATCATATTAATTGATAATTGTATGAATTATAGGAGATGGATGGTCGATCCTACAACGATATAAGATGAGTCTATAATTGTTTTCACTGTAAGTTATATAAAAAGTCAGTGTCTGAATGAGAATGGAATTCCATTCAAGACGATGCTATGAGAATGAAAGAAATAAAAATTTATAAATCTTAAATGGGAGTTTCGTAATGTTTACAGTTAAGGAGACCATAATTGACAGATCTTAAGTGCATATGGGCGATCTAGTATATTTTCAAATTAACTATATTACTGAGGTACCACAAGATTTATCGATACCATTCTATTACATTCTCTAAAATGAGATAGTTTAAGTATAAGTTTTTCATTGTTATCTTGAACCACAACCAATAGAGAGAAACTGTGGCGGGTGTGAGGAAAGTACCTACCAAACACGATAGATATTGGCGGAATATCGTGGATTGATTGAATTTATACATGTACATATCTGGATCCCGGCATAGTGGTCCATAGGTTGAGCGTTCGCGCATGAGGCCGAAGGTTCTGAGCCAAATAACCTGTGGTGGGGTTGTGGGTACTCACTGTTGAGGAGGTCTCATAGTGGAACGAGACGGCCGTTCATTGTTTTCAAGTCTTCAATGGTGATCTAACTTCGGTTCGTGATATAGATGAAATTAAACAGTCTTCTCGACTCTGTATTGACAGTTCAACAAAGCTTTTGGCACAAGTGCCTAAAAAATATCCACATGACTAGATAACTATTCCATTTATTATTCAGAAGTAGACTAACAGTTTTGACCCCTTGGTTACACTATTGATTTCATTAATTTCAGTGTTTTTTCTAATCGCTTGGTTCCATTTCTTTGTGGTCTGTCTATAGTTGCCTATCACCGGATCACACAACGGAGAACCAGATAGATCATATTTGTATCAACAAAAGATTCCGAAGAACAATGAAAGATGTGTGAACCAGAAGAGCAGCTGACATAGCTTCAGGTCACCACTTGGTTGTGACCAAGATGAAACTGAAGCTAAAGAAACACTGGACAACTGGGGAAACAGCAGTACATACAAACTTTCCCATAGATGTTACTCCAACAGCGATCGAAGAAGTCATGACAAATCAAGAGCGGGAAAGCAGCAGGACCTGACAATATACCAGCTGAAGCAATAAAGTCAGACATTGAAGTAACTGCAAAAATGCTTCACATCCTATTCAGAAAGATTCGAAAGAAAGAACAAGTGCCGACAGACTGAATAGAAGGACACCTCATCAAGATACCAAAGAAAGGAGATCTGAACAAATGTGGGAACTACAGTGGCATCACGTTACTAAAGGTACGGAGAAAAGCTTTCAACAAAGTGTTGTTGAATCGAGTGAAACATCCAGCGGAAGCCCAACTTTGAGATCAACAAGCTGGATTCCGTAAGGATCGGTCGTGTACAGACCGAATTCCGACATTACAGATCATCGTCGAACAATCAGTTG